AACTAGGAGAGACATGCATCCTCAGCAAATGCTAAGGGATTTATTGGAAGACCATATGTAGAGACAAAATTTGGGTCTTAGAAAGCCGAGTAAATAAAAAGAGGACCAAACATTGGAGAAGAGGGCATGGCAATTATTTAGCTGAACTCCAAGCTGAAATGAATAAGCCCATATTGTCTGAAAGCCTTTTACTCCACAGGTTAATGAAAGATCTGTTCAGGATGATTTAGCTAGACTGGTCCTGGAAAGGAAGGCCTTTCTAGAACAGAGAAAACTAAGGTAAGATCTAGAGAATAATGAGGTTCCAGCTGTTATCCTGGATTCTTATACTGTTATCCTGTTATTCCTGTACCTGGTTTAACAAGGTTCCCAAGATGGACTAACTCACTGGAAGGCCAACAAATTTCCTCTGCTCAGGAAGCCAAAGGGGAATGAGGTGGGGGCATGGGACAGAGTGAGCCTTCTCAATGCTTGACCTGGGTAGTCAGTGCTAGAGGAACTCTGAGGACAGAGTCAAAAAGATGGAACTTAAAGGAATCTCGAAGAAATAACCAGCTTTATTCAAGGGAAACCTTTATTCAAGGTGGGCACTACAAGCAGGAGAACTGAAGGCGGAAAAGAAAAAGTGGGTCAATAATGAGTAACTCATAAAACCTGTCAAGGGACAAGCTTTCAACGGCCAAGGGAGCTCCCAGGAGCACAGTGAGCCCCTCAATGCTTAATCTGTAAAATGGAACAGTAGGATAGAATGTTCTCTGACATCTTTTATACATGGTTCTACCATTAAAATAAAAAACAGCCCAGGAAGGTCAGCCAAGGGAGTGGTAGCGCTGAGTCCAGTTTTCAGATCTCCCAAATTCCTATCCTGATCTGGCTCCACCCTAGCTCCTTCCTTCTGCTGGAAGAGCCAGATGTGAGTGTGAGGCCTCAGCAGAACACTATGGTGGGGCCATCTGCCTGGAGCTCCCCTGCAGCCCATGCTGCAGCCCCCGGCACTCTGATCTCAAAGCCAGTTCCTTTATTCCCCCCAGAAACTTCCCAAAGATGTTGGGAGCCACTTTGATTTTTGTTTTGTTTTGTTTTATTAACATTTCCCCCACAAAACAATGTGAGGAACAAGAGGAAAAGAGTGGCCCAGTCACAAAGCTGTTTCAACCAGAAAAACAGGTCTGAGTCCTGTCAATTCCACCTAGGTTTCAGGGATCCCCCAGAGAGAGGGAGAGGAAATGGGAAAGAAATGCAGAGAGCTTCATGCAAAGCACTATTCCCTGTGGGAAGTCCGCTCTGTGTTCAGGGCCTAGGGCTCAGCACAAACCTATGGTGTCCCTAGGGGAACAAAGGTCCCCACACCAACTGAGAAGGTGGTCAGATCTGCCAAACTTCAAACTTGATTCAACCGCTCTATGCTTAGAACCAAGAACACTAGAGAGAAAGGAGCTGCAGGCATCATCCAGTCTAATCCTCCAACAGCATTTGCCCTCATATACACATGACCTTTAAAAACATACTGTATATATTTTCTGTAATTTTCTTCTTATTTAATCACATGCTATGAAAACCCTCCCCCATAATTACACATAGATCTGTCTCATGTTGCTAACAACTGCATATTACTTTTCAAAACTGAAAAAACAAGTAGTCACCTTTGGTGAGATATTCAGCTAGTCTAAGGAAGGCAAGTAGAAACTATGGAACCACAAGCACCCTCTCCACCACTCCCACATCTTATAGACTAGAAAAACTTTGCATTCAAAGTTTTTTGTACATATTCAAGTGAGCATTTATTTGTAAATGAAAGGAGCAAAATGAGGAGGAAGCAGAGATGCAACTGGACTGGAATGAGGGAAAGGCAGCTGGAGAAAAAGTTAGGGGCCGAAGAGTTGCCTTAGTCATTAACAGCAGTGGGAGGCAGGGAGCAGAAAGTGAGGAGAGCTCGAGATGACCCCAGTTAGGGACAGGGAGTCAGGAAAGATGGGAGCTCTTCGTGGAGAGGAAAAGCCCACGAATGGGAGCCCAGCAGCAGCCTGTGAGGGGCGAGGCCATGGCCATGGGTTAAGCTGGCCCCAAAGCCTTTCCTCTTTCCCCTCAAAGAAGTTGGAAGGTCTGTCTCCCAATGATTTTGCCACATGGTTTTCAACACCCGGAGCCTTTGCCAGTTTCCTGGTGACACTTGTTTATCTCTATTCCAGATTCTTAACGTTCAAAACAAACTTCCAAACAAAGGGATCCTCTGCTCCGAGGGTCTCAGCTCCATTCTCCTGCAAAGACAGGGCCAACAACCCTGATCTCCTGATGACTTTCACAGCCAAATCCACAGAGAATCCCACCCCCAGCTTCCTCCTGCGTCTTTCCCGCTGCCCCTGATTGTTGTGGACATCCTCAAGGGCAAAGCTTTTTTAGCTTATTTTAACCCCTTTTTTCCTATCCTTATAAACTATGCAGAGAAAATAAGACTGTTCCCCCAGCAGATGCTATTTGGGCTTTACAAAGTGGTCCAAGACCCAGTGATCTCTCCTAAGAGCTGAATTCTTCGACATCTAGCTGGATATATTATCAAAGAGAACCCCAGACAAGAAGAATTCATCAATTAATCTCCATTAGTTAGAAAATGTTCAGGCATGGTTTCATGGCCACCACTCTGTGGAAAAGCCTAACAGCTTTCCATGAGTAGAGAAGGACAGCACTGTCACTGAGAGCAGGTGTAAGTGAGGGGTGATACTAATAATTAGCACGCATCAAGCCTTCATTTGTCATGCATTACACTATCCAAAAGATAGGCACTGTGCCCTCATACAGGTGGAAACTTTGAGGCTTATAGAGGCTATCTTCCCCAAAGTGAGACTGCCAGAAAGAGATGAAGCTGGGATTAAAAGCCAGGAAGGCTGGAAACGGCGCCTGGGCTTTCCCCAGGACACCATCGGGTTTAGCTAATTTGTGTTTTGCTCAGTTAATTGTCTCCCTGCCACCCTAGAACTGGATTTATGCTTATGAGGGTGGAGTTCTTTTTCTTTCTTTATTTTTTTATTTTTTCTGCAATCATCCATTACTGGGTAGAGCTCTTGTCTGTCCTGTTCTCAACGGTATCCCCAGAAGCCAGCCCTGGGCCTACTACAAAGTAGACACTCAATAAATAATTGCTGAGTGAATGAACTAGTGAATCAATATCATGCTTTTATTTGATTATGTTATATAATTTGAAATTTTCTGAACATTGAGGCTTTGGGTGATAACTAAATATGTTCATGGACAACAACTGTTAATTTTACATGTCTAAGTTATCTAAACTTTCTCTCAGAAAAATATATTTTTCCAAGAATTAGAACCTAGTAAGTTACCTGCAACTTGGGAATTGAATAAGGAAATTCCATCTTATAATGTAGGGGACACATAAAGTGGAATAATTTAAATATTTGCTAATCACTTATGTTCTCAAAGCTATTTTAGGCCTCTGCCCTTTTCAATAGCAAAGTGCTATGAATCACCTGGGATGCTTGTTTCAAATGCTGTGCAAGGGAGCCCAGAGTCTGAGAATCTGCATTATTGGAGGTGTCTCAGGTGTCTGGTACATATACAACATTTTGAGAATACCTGTGAGGACGTTAGGGCTAATTTTACCTCCACCCCATTGGACAAAATTCCTAACAAGCTATCAAATGTGTTTCAAATCCATTGATCCTTGAGTTTACCTAAAGATTCTTTAATGGTGATCACCTCTTGGGGTCATGAGCCATATCAATTTTATCAATTTTTTCCTCCCTGTGTAAGGTAGAAACATTGTATTTACCTGAAAGTTATTCTTTCCCCAATTTTAATAGGCCAGCTACCCAATCTTACACTAACCTCCCAGACTCTAGTGCACTGAGCCACTCTCACATAGGATTACGCTAGAAGTGAGAAGATGTGGTCCAGTTCTGCCACAAGATGCTGTGTGTCCTAGGGCAGGTTGCCCAGCCTCTCTGACCCACTGTTTCCTTGTCTAAGCTGGGGCTGTGATTATTCACAGCCTTTGAGTCTGCACATGCTCTAATTGGGGTCATGCTATAGACAAGGATCATGTGTCCTCTCAGTCTTGCTTTTTGGCACTCAAAAGTCATGCTTCTGTGATCATGAATTAGGTGCAGAAAGCGACAGAGTAAGTAGTCACAGGAATGTCAAGAGCCCTACCCCACTGAATCAATTATGACCTAAAAACTTTGGAATATAAACTTCTAAAATACACACCTATAAGATATAATTACAAAAAAAAAAAAAAAAAAAAAAAAAAAAAAAAAAAAACTTGGGGGAATAGTTGGTTGACCATACAGAAACTGGCGTGGACCTGTGAGACCACATACCTGCTGTTCTCCTCAGATGGGGAAGTGTTTCAGGGTGGGGTGCCTAGGCAGTCTACTCTTAGGGCTGTGTAATATTAAACCCAGAAAATGTCTGGGTTGCTCTGTCAACAAATATTTATTGGTAGCTACTACATGCCTGGCCCTGTAGGTGAACCCTACTGACAGACCCAATCATTCATGGAGCTAACATTCTTGTGGGGAAAAGGAGTAATAAATAATTCTAATGATGAGTCGGTGATCGGGGATAAAGGGAATCAGTGAGGGAACAGGGGACACAGGCTGGGAGGCTGGGGAGCCCCTTATTGTCTCATCCACTTGTCCGGACGCCACATTCACAGTTGAGGAAGACGAGGCAGCGACGGTAGTGATCGCCTCAAGCCTAGACTGCACCAAGCTTTCCAGCAGCAGGCCGGATGGAAACTGTCTTCCTGCAAAGCCAGGCTTTCCTTCACGCCCCCCCCACCACCACCACCACCACCACCAATGATGTTTCTTTCCCTGTCATTGTCGAGTCCTTAGACCTCAGAATCAAGGGAGGGAAAACAAGCGCTCAAGCACCCTCTCGTTGGTCCCAGGACACAGGGTCCCGTCCATCCCCCATCGCACCCCAGGGCCCAGGCAGAAGCCCGGCGGGGCGGGGCCTCGGATACGCGCCGGTGCGTCCAGCAGGTGGCAGCAGCGAGCGGCCGCGCCCCCCGCGCTGCCAACCCGCGAGCCCGCATCATGGATGTCGAGCTCTCCTATTTCGCATTGCTCGCCCTGGAATTCGAGACCCCAGAAGAGGACCAAGATTCATGAATCGGTCGCAGGGGCCGGGGCAGGGGCCTCTGGCTCCCGACACTGGCCGAGAGGTGGGTTCCGGGGCGGGTCGCTGCTCCCTGAGGCCGGGCGGGGACGCGCTGCCCCCGCCCTGCCTCCCTGTGGTCCACACCCCCTTTGGGCTCCGGAGCCGCTGGGCAGGAATAGTGCGGGGTGCGCGCGAGCAGGCGCTGCCAACCCCACTTCTGCCCGGGGTTCAGATCTGAGGAGCAGGAGGACCGGGGCGCCGGTGTCCTGCCCTCTCCTCCTCCTCCTCCTCCTCCTCGCTCTCACCTGCGCGTATTAGTCCACGCGCCTTCAAGGCCAGTGGCTACAGCCCAGAGAGAGAAGGGACAGCAGAGGGAGAGAGAGCACCTGAGGATACAGAGCTGGCACTGGACTGCCTTTTCACCCCCCAGGTGATGAGTGAGGTCCGAAGAACGGAAGATTTAAAAAGCAGCCGGGGCCTCCGTATTGAATGAAAGACCCAGTGCAGAGACATCACCATGAACACTAGCAGTAAGTGGATCCTCCTCTCCTTTGCCATGGGAACAGGGGTGGGGGCGGGAGGTGCGGGATCCTGCGCTCGGGCCGCCTGGAAGGAGGAAGGAAGCCTGGCATCTCTGGACACATGACCCTCAGGCTCCTTTTTGGTGCTTTCTGTTCTCCTTGGCAGAGGGAAAGCTTCATGACTCTGCCTTTCGTGATCGTTTTGCCAATATTTTATCAGCGGCGCCGGTTGCCTCTGCTGGGAAGGCTGCTTGTCTCTTTCTAGCACTGCCTGGGAAGGCCTAGGAAGCAGTGTGTGGCCATTGTCTGACTGTGGGGGCTCTGAGGAGACCTCCCTGCACACATCTGGAAAACCATGGAGGGCCCTGCCTGCCCCAGAGGTGGCAAGAGCAGGGAGGCTGGCCTGTGGGCAGATGGGTGGATTAGGTGGGTGTGGGCTGGCAGTGGGCTGGGAATCGACAGTTTGATAAACAAATCATCACCAGGCCACCTTTGGATCTGGAGATGGTGAAAGCTCCCGTGTGCCTGCAGCCCGGTGGGCCCAGGGCTGGTTTCTGCATTCCTGCAGGCTGGTTAGCTATCCTTGAGAACAAGAGGACAGGAACAGTCCTTTGGCCAAGCACTCTAACATGCCAGAGGCAACAACTGCCTGCAAAGCCAGGACCAGATATTTTGTTGCCAGGTTGGGCCTCAGCTACTGAGAATGCAGTCCGAAACACGAGAAGGCACAGTCTGTTTCTCTTCAGTGTAGTCCCTTTAGCCGTGGGCACAGCAGAGGTGCTGTGACCTGGGAGGGCACGTCTCGGTTCCAGACTCACTCTCCTGCCCTCTTGTCAGCTTAACCTGTCTAGGTCATTCCAGCATCGCATGAGGCTGTTGAACCAGAGAATCCCTACACACAGTCACTCCCCTGGGTCTGTGACTTTGTTGTCAGTCCCCTCTCTGCATCTCAGACTGCTCATCTGTACAGTGAGAGGTGTTGAATTAGAAAGCCTTCTAATCTAAGAATCTACAAGGTTTTTTCTTAAAAAGCTAGAGCTGAGCAGCAAGGCCAGAACTATCCAGACCATTTTGAAACTATCCAGCTAAAGCCTACTATTTCCTCACATACCCTACCCCACCCCCACCTCCATTTCAAGACTGATGGCATAGAAAAGAGAAAAAAAAAAAAAAAGCAAAAGCTACTGAGATGAAAATGAAATATATTTATTTACTACGTATTTGTATGACTCATCTCTCGTCTGCCTTCCTTTGTGTATTACATATTGATGCTAAGCAAGCGAATGTGGCTGGACTCCCTCTGCCTCTTACAGCCAAAGAATTTTGCCTTTTGATTTTGACAGGCTGGAATGGTGTTTTGGCTTCATACCCGGCTCAGGAAAAGAGCAAAATCCTGTAGCCCCTATCTAGTGGGTCACATGTTTGCATCTGCATGTTTTCACGCAAATAAAGATATGAGTTGTCTGTCACTTCTCAGTATCTCTAGGGAAAAAAATGTATTTATGAGAATCCTTTCCCACTAAGTGACAGAAGAGAAAAGATGGCTCATCTATTTTTCAAGAAACTAAGACAAGAAACAAGCAACTGACTCTGCCCTTTTCTCTCCCTGGAATGCTAAGGAACTCCCATCCTATTAGCAATACTGAGTGTTCCTGAAAGAAGGAAACACAGACTATCCTTCTTTAAAAGAAAAGAAAGAAGAAATAACCAATAGAGTTGAATATGGCAGAAGATGAGGACTGGCAAAAATGCCACTACTTTTTCTAAGCAGGGAGAGTGTGTGTATTTTGCAGTAGTGGAAAATGAACAGAGGGGCATGGCTCAGGAGCTTTGGAAGCCCCAGGTACCCCCGAGGAGGAAGTGCTTCTCTAAACAGACACCTGGGGGATATAGCAAGCCCAGAGCTTTGGGGGGCTTAACTCTATCAACTCCCAAACCCAAAAGTCTTCAAGTACAGAGAACAGACATCAGACCTCAGAAGAAAAGGAGTAACAGAGTCATAAGATGATAAGGATAGGGCATTGGCAGGGGGTCCTTGGGTGATGGCAGGGGATCCTTGGGTGATCCGACTAAGTAAAAAAGCTCCCAGTTGACGTGTGAAATTCTTAACTTGATCCTCGTGCCTGATATCGTCCCTAATAGAAACTCTTGCTTAGTTTTTCTTTCACTTTTATTAATTTAGTCCTCACTCTCTACCAGCCACCATGCTAAGCACTCCCCTGATTGAGCTCAGCAGACTGTCCCACCGAACCTGTGAGATGGGTATTTATCAGCGGCGCCAGTAAAATTTGGTAAAATTTCACCAGTTTTGTGGGCGAAAATTTGAAGCTGTGTTCAGAAACATTGTAGCTAATGCTCAGTGGCTTCTTCAAGTCATGCAGTTAGTTGGATTGTGAAAGCTTCTTGGATATATAACACATTTGACCCTGAGTACAACTCCTAATCAATGGTTCAAATGTCAACACTGAAATAGAGGCAAAGCGTGAGATTACAGTCATCCCTTTGTACACGTGGGGCTTGGTAAAACTGTGGTGCATACTCAAGTTCTGCAGCTGGCCCTGTGGAACCGGCTTATACTAAGAGTTAACCCTCTGTGTAGGCAGGTTTCAAATTCTGCAAATACTGTATTTTATTTTAAATTTCAACTTTTATTTTAGATTCAAAAGGTACATGTGCAGGTTTTGTTACATGAGTATATTGCATGATGCTGAGCTTTGACATACACTTGCTTCTATGACCCAGGTACAGAACATAGTACCCAATAGTTTTTTTAACTCTTTCTCCCCTCCCTCCCTTCCCCGTCTAGTAGTTCCCAGTGTCTGTTGTTGCCATCTTTATGTCTGACTACTCAGTGTTTAGCTCCCACTTATAAGTGACAAAGTACAGTATTTGGTTTTATGTTCCTGAATTAATTTACTTAGGATAATGCCCTGGAGCTGCATCCACATTTCTGCAAAGGACAGAATTTTGCTCTTTTTATGGGTGTATAGTATTCCGTGGTGTATACGGACTACATTTTCTTTACCCAGTTTACTGTTGATAGACACCTAGGTTGATTCCATATCTTTATTATTGTAAATAGTGCTGTAATGAACTTGTAAGTATGTGTGTCTTTTTGTCAGGACGATTTATTTTCTTTTGGATATATACCCAGTAATGGGATTGCTAGGTCAAATGGTATTTCTGTTTTAAGTTCTTTGAGAAATCTCCAAACTCCTTTTCATAGTAGCTGAACTAATTTACTTTTTTGGCCACTTGTATGTCTCTTTTTTTTTTTTTTTTTTTTTTGAGATAAGGTCTGGCTCTGTTGCCCAGGCTGATGTTCAGTGGTGCAATCATGGCACACTGCAAGCTCAGCCTCCCGAGCTCAAGTGATACTCCCACCGCAGCTTCCTGAGTAGCTAGGATCACAGGTGGGTACCACCGTGCCTGGTTAAGTTTTGTATATTTATTTTGGTAGAGACAGTGTTCTGCCATGTTGCCCAGGCTGATCTTAAACTTGTGATCTCAAATGCTTCAGCGTCCCAAAGTTCTGGGATTACAGGCATGAGCCACTGCACCCAGCCCACTTCTATGTCTTCTTTTAAAAAGTGTCTGTTCATGTCTTGTGCTTACTTTTTAATGGTTTTTTGTTTTGTTTTTGCTTTTGCTTGTTGAATTGTTTAAGTTCCTTATAGATTCTAGATATTGGTCCTTTGTTGGATATGTAGTTTGCAAATATTTTCTTTCATTCTGTAAGTTGTCTGTTTACTCTGTTGATAGTGTCTGTCTTTTGCTGTGCAGAAGCTCTTTTTTTTTTTTTTTTTTTTTTTTTTATTTTTTGAGGTGGAGTTTCGCTCTTGTTACCCAGGCTGGAGTGCAATGGCACAATCTTGGCTCACTGCAACCTCTGCCTCCTGGATTCAAGCAATTCTCCTGCCTCAGCCTCCGAGTAGCTGGGATTACAGGCACGCGCCACCATGCTCGGCTAATTTTTTGTATGTTTAGTAGAGATGGGGTTTCACCATGTTGACCAGGATGGTCTCGATCTCATGACCCCATGATCCACCCGCCTCGGCCTCCCAAAGTGCTGGGATTATAGGTGTAAGCCACCGTGCCCAGCCCAGAAGCTCTTTAGTTTAAGTAGGTCCCAGTTGTCAATTTTTGTTTTTGTTGCAATTGCTTTCAAGGACTTAGTCATAAGTTCTTGGCCAATGTCATAATGCCAATGTCCAGAATGGTGTTCCCTACGTTTTCTCCTAGAATTCTTACAGTTTGAGGTCTTACATTTAAATCTTTAATCCATCTTTAGTTAATCTTTGTATATGATGAAAAGTAGGGGTCCAGTTTCATTTTTCTGCATGTGGCTAGCCAGCTATCCCAGTACCATTTATTGAATAGGGAATCTTTTCTCCATTGCTTAATTTTTGTCAGCTTTGTCAAAAATCAGATGGCTGTAGGTATGTGGCTTTATTTCTGGGTTCTCTATTCCATTCCATTGGTCTATATGTCTGTTTTTGTACTGGTACCATGCTGTTTTGGTTACTGTAGCCTTAGGGTATAGTTTGAAGTCAGATAATATGGTGCCGCTGGCTTTTGTTCTTTTTGCTTATGATTGTTTTGATAATTTGAGCCCTTTTGTGAGTCCATATGAATTTTAGAATCGTTTTTTCTGATTCTGTAAAAAATGATGTTGCTAGCTTGATAAGAATGGCATTGAATCTATAAATTGCTTTGGGCAGTATGGCCATTTTAATGATATTGATTCTTCCAATCCATGAGCATGAAATGTTTTCTCACTTGTTTGTGTCATCTATAATTTATCTCAGTGGTGTTTTGTCGTTCTCCTTGTAGAGATCTTTCACCTCCTTGGTTAGATATGTTCCTAGGTTTTCTCTCTCTCTTTCTGTGTGTGTGTGTGTGTGTGTGTGTGTGTGTGTGTGTGTCTATTGTAAATGGGATCATGTTCTTGATTTGGCTGTCAGCTTGAGTGTTATAGGTGTATGGAAATGCTACTAATTTTTGTACAT